GTATACAGTTGCTTGTGTGTGTGTGTGTTAAATGTTAGTTGGTAATATTTTGTTGGGTTTGTGTATGTGTGTATGCACAGTATCATTATATATTGGCAAAATACTCGATGACCTGTGATTTATTAGTGGAAAAAAATGATTCTTTGATGAAATGGATGCATCAACGATGGCATAAAACACTGATCAGTTATGAGCTTTTTATCGAGCTCACATCCTGCTAAAGCACTGATATATCATATCAAACGGCATTTTGGCTCACGAATTTTATGCATACACACACGCACGAACACACATGCACGCATGAAATAATCATAAAGATACGATTCATTGATTTTAATCGATATTGGTTTGATTGATTTTGAATATGGCATCTGGCCCATGTATACGTAAAATAGTATGTATATATGGCTTGAATTTGTTGATGAAGTGTGTGAAATTTTACAAAAATAAATCAACAAAATTAACGTTAACGAAGAGAGTAAACGAATTCTCATGTATGGGAATGAAATGAATATTTCTATGTATATCATATATAATAATAATAGTATTAGTATCTAAATTCATTTCAATTTTATTTTAATCGATTTTAAATCTTCTAATTTTCGTGGATAAATGAATTGCCGAGGAGGGGCTGACAGTGTGTATAGTGTGTGAAAGAGTTTGAGTGTGATATTTCTTCAATTAGGATGTGTATTTTGGAATGTTCTTTATTATTTGTGTGTGGTTTTACTTTTTATCCATCGATACTTATTCGATAACATTTACAATAAACGATTCATATTCAAATAGATTAGTGTGTTAAAATTCTAAAGCTGGTTTTTTTTTTCTTCTTCTTCGATGCGCATTTGTCATCGGCGATGACTCATCGCATTTCAACCGTCCAATTCATACATCTAGCTTTTAATATATATATATATCTAATAAATATTTTTATTTATTATTATATTAAATAGTATTTAATTTGATGCATACCAATAACACTTAATATTTTCACTTACTTAACCAGAAAAAAAAAAGATTTTGTATGCTCAATTTACGTTGGGAATTTATTTGATCCTTTTCCAAATGTTGTTTTTCTTTTTAATTTATAATCACATTTTATGTCTTTAGTTCATTTTAAATATACAATTTGTTTTTTTTTGTTGCGTGTATTTGTGTATGTGTGGTATGAGTGTATGAGTGTGTTTTTTTAAATGTCAAAATGAGTTGGAATTATATGTAAAATTATCTACATTTGATTACATTCTAATTTTACTATGAATAAGCCGATCAAAGAGTATTTAAACGCATGTAGTATTTCTGTTTGAAATTCCCACATTCTTTACTTTGAGATTCGACTGTTTTTTTCTATCATAATTTTTTCTTTCTGCTTCAGCCTTGAGCCATTAATTTATATTTATGTATATGCATTTGAAACGAGCACCGCAATTTGTTTTTTTTTTTCTATTCATATGCCAAACAGAACATAGACAACTCACAAATCCAATAACTTCGGTATAAAAATATGTTTGTTGTTGTGCCAATGTGCAATATTATTTATATTTCTCTCTCATTTTCTCACTCTCTATTCGAAAACACAAGAAGAAGAAAGATAAAGCAGATATAACATAACATGTGTGTATGGCTGAGCTTTTTTCACGGGAAAATTAATTATTTATCGGATTTTGTATTGAAGCGATAATAAATGTGAACAGAAGCCAATTGCGCCAATCATCTTAAACTAGCAAACATTCGGCACTGCGTATTTATTTGTGTGTTCGTTGTGTGGGTGGATTATCGTCGTCTAGAAATATGAAGGGGTAAAGTTCGAGAGATGGTTTTGCGGCGTTCCACCATTATCCACACTAAAACGCTTTAAATGTATAGAATCAATGTGTTTGTTGATCGTGTGTGTGTGTGTGTGTGTGTGCGCGTACGTATACGTGCTTGACGAATTGTGCCCGCGGGTCTTTTTTTCGTATCTCGGTTTTGATTCGAAAATGGAGAGTTTGAGCGAGTGCGAGAGTGGTACGACTGCATTTTGCTTTCTTCATTGTGCGTCATTTGCGATTATGACTGATATGTAAATGCATTTCCATGATGAAACAACAATATAACCAAACGTTACGAGTCAAAGTTTTCAAAGTAATCGAATTAACAACAGCACACACACATTAAATTCTAAGCGAAACTCGAACAAATGGAAAATATAACATTTAATATGAATTCTATATATATAATATTGATAAGCCATTTATTTGAATCTCACAAAATGGCGTTCTATATTTCATCATTTTATACTTATGGTGAATTTGATGCCGAGATATGCGCATTATGCAACCTTTTTGTGCATACACCGATTTTTGTTTCGACAATTACGTTGATAAATGGGAGATTGAAGAGACCGTATGACGGTTTAGTCGTGTGAAGCACACACACACACACACCAGCAAAACAATTGTAACGAACATTACGAACTAAGTAGCCAACTAGCTTATTGTAAAAAGATAAATTCTATCATTTTAACCGGAAAATGTACAGTGCATGTCTCTCTCTCTCTCTCTCTCTCTCTCTCTATCCATCGCTCTCTCACTTCATTCACTTTGCTCTCTTTCTCTCGCCCTTCCTTTCTATCTCTCTATCCCCAATCAACACCACCATTTAATTAAAAAGATGAAAACTTTTCAGTAAAACTTTTGAGATTAAATTACGACCATATTGTTATAGTATTGCGTTTTAAATGTTTCTATCTTATCATTATGCATTATACGCGTATATTATGTTCAGGACTAAAATCTAGGAATTTTTATTAAATTATTAACACTGGTTTTTACCGTAGTTTTACTCAATTCTGTTTACGCTCTTAGTTCTGAATTGTGTGTGTATGTGTGTTTGTTTGTGAGTGAATTAGTTGCTTCGTTCGCAAACAATTCCGAAAACTATGACAATTGCAAGCACAGACATCCGTCGGCGCTTTGCCTTGAATATGTGTGTGTGCATAACAGGGTGTTAAAAATGGTCTGAAAGTTGGAGTGCGGCAACGAGCGAAATGATACGCCAGTAGCAATAAAATTGGTAATAGCTTGGCAAAACATTTACACGAACAGTGAACATATCCATTAACTAAGTCAAATTGCTTTTGAAAATTAGAAATATGCAAATGGAATGGTTTATTTGTGTGTAAACCTGCTCCGGTTATTATATTGAGATCATGAAGAGCCGAAAAATTGTGGCAAATGGAGAGCGAAAGGCTAAAGAATAAGCCAAAATAGATTGAAATTCTCCCATTTCCAAACATGGAACACATCTGTATTCTTTTGATTTAAACATTTATTGCTAAATCTCTTTGTTCACAAGCACTTGACTATCAACTTGTGCATCCATTTTTACATATATATATATATATATATATATATATATACCTGTGCCGTATGCACTATACGAGCAAAAAGTTTGATTAGTAGTTTGTCATATTGTTTGAATTTAAATGAATAAAAGTGACGGAATTTACACATGAACCACATAAAAGCCCAACGATGATGCATCCACAACGCTTTTTTCTCTTCTTCTTCTTCTTCTGTCATTGTTGGTGTTGCGAAAATTTAATTGAAAAAGAAACGTATTCGTGTGTGTACAATGCATTTTGCCATCATGTAAGTAATGCTGGGGGCTCACAACATTCCTTTGGCAATTAGAAAATTAGACAGAGAAAACACGAACAATTGGTTTTCCTTTTGTTCACAGTTAAACAACCATCGAATTCCAGTGCACACTCAAATAGGTCTCTTTTCTCTTGTTACTGTTTTTGTTGCCATTCAATTGTGTGCGTATATAGAACACCGTAGACATTTCATGCTACAGCATAGTTAATTGCTTCCATTTGTGCATTAAATTGTGCAAGAGACATTGCATTTTGATATGATGCCACATACGTCTAATTTCGAAGCGACTTCACCGTAACGCCAATGTGCAAGTAAAATTTGCACATTTTTCACAGACGGGCGAACCAAGTCGCTTCGTCATTAAAATTCAATTAAATTCGTTTTAATTTTCGTGCCACTTCATTTAATTGTCATTAAGGCATCGCGACAACGGCAGCAACGCCGACACCGACACCGGCGCTGAATCATCATCATCATCATCTACTTCGTGTGCCCTTTTTTTAAACCAATGTCAATGGTTTTGGTTTGTCGATAAATTTGGTAAAATAAAATCACAGATCATTATTACTGCATTGTCAATGACAACTGAATGAAGTTGGAAGTAAAATCATGCGGTCTCTTCCTCATTCATTCTCTCTCTCTCTCTCTCTCTCTCTCTCTCTCTCTCTCTCTGTCATTCTCTTGCCTTTCGCACAAAATGCACCAAATGAATGCGAGCACAACAATGTCGACTGAATTGTGGTTCATGTGTCTGAGTGTAATATGATTCGATCGAAGCACATCGAAAAATTCATACACACAATTTCCGAATGCCATTCGCGTTTCGATCATTCGACATATTCTGCTTACACTCTAAATTGGCTGAGTTTTCGTTTCTTACTTACACACTCTTAAAAAAAAACTTAACTCTTGTTGGTCGGTAGTTAAATTAACCACGACACTCTTCAAATTTATAGGTACTTATCAAAAACATTCCAACACAATTCCTAAATAATGTTCATTTTTGTCTTGTGTCTTGTTGCGAGACAAATTATCGTTGGCTACGTGTATTTCTTTTATATATATTTGCTTTGAGATAACAAAACTTGAGAGACTTTATAAAATTCCTAAATCAATTAAATTTCATTGATGAAAACATGAATCACTTACTTACGTTACATCGAAACTGTTTAATATTAAAACATTTCTGGTTTCAGTTTAATTTTTTTTTGATTTAAATCATCTTATCTGCTTTGGTATTGCACACTTTATTACAATATTAACTGTATGTTTTGTTGTTGTATCGTTCACTAGCCTGTTTTGTTTATATTTATTTATATGTATTCTATGTCATATTGTTGGTAGGGATGCATCGTGAGATTTGCCATATTCGTTCATCGTAGCCAAGTTCAAGAAATTCAGTATTCTAACCACAGTCTCGATGAGATGCTCAACCACTAATGAGCAGCAATTCATAGATAATCAGAGCGGAACAGTTGCATTCTTCATAATAATGAATACGTTATTTCTGTGTACTTGTCTCTTACTCCATTTCCGATATCGAAACCGACAATCAAGCCAACCAACAAATCAAGTACGCTAGCACTTTTTTGTGCCCGAAAATTCACTCAAATCATAATTGAACGGAATTTATTTAGTGGAAAACTGAGATTCTTCGTATTTAACCTAGCGGTTTCATTTAAGGCTTGGGAAATGTGAATATTTGTGAATATTGTGGATATTTTTCTCATTGAATCATCGTCAAAATTTCGATTATATGTGAATGTTGTGAATTTTGTGAATGTTTTGAATAAAATTTCCAAGATGGCGACGAATTCAAGATGGCGGCTGATGAGAACGCCTGAACTGTCAAATAAGAAAGACTGAATATCTGTGAATATGAGTGGATATTCTGAATATAGCTCAAAACACACCGGAATTCATGAATTTTTGAATGATAAATTCCCCTAGTATTTAACATCGCTACCATTTCAAACGTGGGAGTATATTGTTTCGCAGTAGGAGAGATATATAGTTATACTTACGTAGCAGCAGTGGAAAATAACTATTAAGGTAGAACGGAATATGAAGGATGATCTCCATAAAAACTCGTTCCAAATGTGACATCCATTCAAAAATGTTCAATCAATATTTATTTATACCATAATTTTGCCATTTCGAAAAAAACCGTTAAGTTCGTACGTGATATTGATTGCAAAACTTGGTAAAAAAGAGACGGAAAAAAATTTGCACAGAGTAAGAAGGGATATTTGCGCAGCGCAACGTGGCAGAGAGGAAGAGAGAAGGGAAACGTGCAAAACGGAGAGCAAACAAAACCGGAATATAAACGGAACAAATCAATAAAACGATCCGAATTGTGCTAGTTCAAAAGAAAACGAACTTGTGTGCGGATGGTGGTCGAGACAAGAGTTGGGAAGAAAAGAAAAAACTGGAAAATGAATAATACAAAATGGAAAAAAAAGAATGACCAATCTCTTTATGAAAAGAATTGTTAAAATATCGTGTGAATTAGAGGAGACGAGCCCAGTTCCGACGGCGTGCCATAAAATATTTGACTTTATTCTTCTCTTGTTGCTGCGAGTGGTAGTATATCAAGGCGACAAAATCGTAATTGAGGTGCAAAAATACCAATCGTCTCGATGTTTTTCAAGAGTTTCAATTTCATGGCTTTGTTTTGTCGGTTTTTGTCAATTGTAAACCACCTCAAAGGGTTTTATCGGGTGGGGAGAGACGATTGCTAGGGTGCTTACGTTTACAATAAACGTCTCGGCACGTTTACGAGTGGAGCAGACAATTTTGCGCAAATAGCAAAGTGAATAAAATGCTTATTGTAGTGGTCCGCCCATATACAGAAACGAAAATAGAGTATAAACTGGGAATATTTGCTGCTTTGCCCATGAATAATCGGGCGATCCCATTTGAGACGAGACCCAGAATGAACAAATCCACTTGGAATGCATTCGATTTCATTATTCGGTTTTTTATTCGAATCATACTGAAACCTCTTTTGTATATTTACTTCGATCATTTAAATCTAGAACGAGCTTTTCTGAACCCTTACGCTTTTTCGACGTACTCACGCCGGTTACCGCTGCTGTTGCTGCTGCTGCTGCCGACGACGACGATGTTGATGATTTTTTCTCATCATCATCAGCACTTTTGGTTTGGCTGTTAGCATCCACAGCGTCAATATCACTAATGGATTTTTTCTCAATGCCTTCTGATTTTGTGTCGATTTTGTGGGTTGCAGTACCGTCATTGGCGACGGATTTTTTACTATGTCAAAAGAGCTCTTTTGAACATCGACAACAACGTTGTACCGCCTCATCCATGAATGGCGATTCACTTGTGATGGGCGACACAATTTCGGGCTCTTGAACAGCTAGTTTTGTTTCGCTTTTGAATCGATCATCACCTTCCGTCGTCGTTGTCGTCGTTGTCGTCATTGCCATCATCACATTGCTGGTCATTGGCATTTTTGCATCCGAATCGCAATCCCGAATGCAATACCATCGACAATGGCAACCCATTGCTATTGACTTAGTAACCGGCGTGCAACCGTGCTTGTCATCATCGACATTATCGATGATGACCTCCTCACAGCATTGCTTTTTCGCCAACACTGATGCCGTTGCTGTTGCCGTTGTAGTTGCCGTTGCCGTTGTTGAGCTACTACACAACCCCGTTCCATGTTGATTGCGAATTATTTTACAAATTTCATCACAACGCTTACTTGCTAAATTTTGATTCGAACCTATCTCCATACAGCTACTACTACCTAAGGGCAATTCATTGGGAATATTATTGCTATTTGCTTTACGATTGGCCTCACATTCACTCGAGCATGGGTTATTTTCATGCATGGCCATCGGATTGGTTGTGCTGTTGACATCATTGATTTGATTGCTGTCACTCTCATTCATAACACCAAGACCACTGGCTGTGCAATAGCAACAGCGTAAGAAGAAACAACAATGGCCACGGCCACAGTGTGTGCATCGATGATTTTCGATGATTGATTCACCAATTTCGGTGACCGCTTCCACTTCACTGATCTCTATCTCGGTGTCGTCGTCTACACTTATCCGTTTCCTTATCGATGGATCGACATTTGATTTTGTTATCACACTTGCATCATCATCGCTGCACATGCATTTTAGCTTTAGGTTTAGGAAATTCAGTTCACGGCTACCACTCTCGTTACTATTGCCACTAGTACTGCCGGCGTCGATACTGCCATTACCAGCACCAACACCGCCATCGTCGCCATCACCTCCCGTATCAGTTTTCGGTGAATTCGATTGGCAATCGGTCACATCATCTCTATCCATTGATGCATTTTGATTATGTTTCTCATTCACTATACTACCTACAGGTAATTGGCCATGTTCACCTGAAACCGAAATCGATTCTAAATCCAGCTGCTTATCACAGCCGGTGTCTGTGATTGAAATTTGCGTTGGACATGGTGTTGTTGTAATCGAGCCATTCGTTTGGTTCGGCTGTACTTGAGTCTGCAATTGGATGTGTTGCGTCGCCAAAAGATGACCCGTACCACCATTGTTCGTTGTTGCTATTGTATTTGTATTCGTACTTTTGTCCACACTCTGCTTAAATACATCGCACATAGAAAGAAAAAGAAAATTCATTTGAGTGATTTGTAACGTATTGTATGGAACAACTGACAAGTCATGGGCAACACTATGATCTATAAAGAAACATTTTCATCGGCGTTCGAAAGCGGAAGCGTTCTATTTTGAATACTGGCACCCAAAAATTCGATTATTCAAATGTCTATTTTTTAAAAGGAAAAAGAAGAAGAAGAGAATCTCTCCCTTTCGCTCTTGCAGAGCCGGCAGTTACACTTACCGTATTGTTCATAGCGATTCCGGGCTTTTTTATGGTTGTTGGTGCTGTTAGCGTGGGCGGCATTAACGATATTTGTGAATTTGATAATGGTTTCGTTGTATCCAATAAGATTGAAATGGTTGTCATTGCTGAGCCTCTTGATGGCACTCGATCCTTCACCGATTGCAATTCAATCACGAAATTCTGTAACAGCGATCGAATTTCATCGCTTGCTTCCTGTTCCGTCAATCGATGTTCTGTTGCACACAATTTTCGAAAATGAAAATGAGAAGAAAAAAAAAACGACAATGAACCAAATCACATTCAACAATGTCAACAAAAATCTTGTCTCAAATAGTCGGTCGAATTAAATTCAATAAACTCTGTCCAAGTCATTGGTTATCCATCGCCTGGTGGATATTCATGCTATTAACCGCTACATTAGCCATATCATATACACATATTGATTGCGTTTAAGTGGTTTATGCACACGTCACATTCAATCATGATGATAATTATCAATCGTTTAATTTGTCGTGGAATTATCCACGGTCGATGGATTTGAGTCAGAAACAGAACAGAAAAAAAAAACATATCGACACATCCGTAATATTTGTGTTTATACAATCAAGCGCAGTGTTCGGTGTGTTTGCGTAAAAAAAGATGGTTAGTTTACATAAATCGTTCGAATCGATATCATTACACAGTATCAAATTTCGTGCTTTATGAATCATATATGCAGAGATCGAAATGAATCGGTTTGTCACATAACGTAAACATTTGATACGCAAATAAATGCGATGGATACAGCCGAATACCAATAAATGGTATTCGATTCGATTTGTTTACGATAGCATGGCCAATGTGACAATGGCAATGTCAGCTTAACCTACGCACAGTCGCACATTCTGTATATTATGTACTTGGAGAATGATGAACAATCCAACAGATTCTCGGTAATCTTTTTTTCTGATTATTGTGGCTATTATACCAAAATATCCCCGTAAGGATTACACATGTCTCGTTCATTGTTAACGGCCATCGGTTGATTTATTTGAATAATATAAAGAAAATCGACCAAATCTAAACGAACAATATTAAACGAATACACCGATATTGTACAATAATTCAACATTGAACTGGTTAATCTAATAGGCATTGTGATCGTTGTGCGCGACAAGTCGTTTAGTAAAAAATAAAAACGAATGACGCAAATCCGCACAAGTTACCGCCAGTTCTAACATTGAATATTTAGTATTTTGCGCAAATGCGAGAATTTAAAGAGTCTTAAAGAGAGAGAATTTGTGTCTCATACAAACATTGCATTCAAAGCACTAGTCGAGGTCGTGCAAATGGCCGTTTTAATTTTTTAGCGGTTGAAATGCTGAAATAAAGCGCAGCTCATTTTGTTGTGGAGGGATGACGGGAAGGGCAACTTGGTATGTTTATTATTCAAACGGTAAAAGTAGTAGGTAGTTGTTTGTCAACTCATTGAAGATTCAATCTGAACATTAGCGCAGATTGCAATCGGAATACAGGTGTGAAATTTTTATGGGCGGTAATTTCATCTTAAACATACATTTGTATGCATGCAACAACAAAATTGCAATAATCTCAACGTTGCTTTTATTGGGTACTTTGTATAATTCAGGGTGTTATGTTGAACCCAAAACTACACATTTTGTGCATTGTACATTTTGTTTCCCTTCTGTTCGCGAAGCATTTGAACACGGACTCTATTTTAAACCAATGCCATTGACTTTTGCAACGCAATGAAAGCTCCCCAATGCCATTTTACGGTGAAATGACTGGCGCTTCTCCACAAATACTAACTTTGATTGTGTTGAAATTCGGAGAAAATCGGTTGCCAATTTAAATTGCAATCATTTTGAAAACAGTACGGAAGTATGGTCTAACAACAGTTCTACGGTGTATATTTCATCAGCGCCTGAAGTTATGAACAATGAAATACATTCGTAATCGGATTGATGGCGATTCTTGAAATTTAGCTACGGAATTGATGTTTTATATCAGATTTATTAAGAACTTTTGCTTTGAACTATTGTGTTTGTATTGAACGAATTTACTCGCATTCGATTTCTTCGACGATTCTACTTCAAACTCAGTTGAATTTAAACCGAAATTCCAATAAGTTGATATGCAACATAGGGCAAAGATAACTCGAGGCTTTTAACCGATTTTGGCTCTGTAGATAAGTATGAAAATCAATATTCAAGAACACGTGTAAATATAGGTGTAAGTCAGCAGAGTAGCCATAGCTATTGAAAGCTAGGGGAATATCACGCTTAAATTATTTCAAATATTTCAAGAAAATTCAATTTATCTCTAAGAATCTGTCGTATAAAATATGGTGGATATTTGTGAATACGGCGGACAATTGTGGATTTTTGTGATTATGAATGATATTTAAATGTATTTTTTCGGATTTAATGCAAAAAATCTCAAATATCTCCAAAATCCACAAGAATCTGATTTATTTATTCGAAATATTCGAAAATATGTCATACAATTGATGTTTATTTCAAATATCTCAAATATCTCACAAGATTCAGGAGCGTGATATTCCCCTAGATTGAAAGCAGGTGGCACAAGCACGTATCAATATGAATATTTGCAAATACAACGATTTGTCTGCATGATGAATCGCCGAGTCATAGAAGATGCACAGTGTGTGTATTGTTTTAAGGCGTTGGATTGTAAATTGTCTGATTTCGTTTGTGGTAAACATAAGCAGAGCACGTGTGTCAATCGCAATACTCACCGATATTCGTTCCAAGCGGTGTGGTTGAAGAAGTTGCAGTACTGGGATATGCATTGCCCATTGGTCGGGCTTGTGATCGGCAAATAAATTTTGCACCCGACGATTTAACGCCAAATCCAGTCGAATCATCCGGTGGTTTACCGCCACTTCGAAACACCAAGTATACCTAAATGAATAAGAAAATTGGAAAACCACAGCAATTTAATCAAAATGGCTCAACAAAACTATGCCAAACACGAAAAAATTTCAAGTAAAATTAATAAAATGAAAATCAATTATGACTTTCAATTAAGTTGAGTGGAACCATGTGTAGTAACTAATAACAATCATACGCGCAAAAACAAAATGAGAGAGCGAGAGAAAACAAGACCGTTCTTGAGATTTGATTTATCAATTCTATTTTGTTGTTGCCACAACAAACTAGTTTTTTGCGCACTACATGAAATGTATCTAATCTAAGTTGTCTTGAATTTTTATTGTAATTGAAATAGAATTCAATTTTATTTTCAAACTTGTCAAAATACTTGAGGAAATAATTCCTGAGGTTATTATTCGAAACTCATTGAAAGAATTAGTTATAAGTTATGCGAGAAATAAATAAAATGTATGATAAAATATAGTTTGGAAAATAATTGTATGTCAATCTTTTATCTACATTTCATGTAGTGCTAGAAAAATACACACACATTTCAACTCGATTAGGAATTTTGAATGTAATGGCGATTAATGGCATCGAATTTGTCATTTTCAACCGGAACAAAATACCCACACGCGTGCAAAAAGAATTGTGTGTTTTTTTTGTATGTGAGTGTGCCTGTATGCTGAACGCCGATTGAACCAAAAATAGAAACAGCAAAATAAACTGCTATTAAATATCCATTTGGCCATGGATGCCATATGTTTCGATCCCCCCGAATTTCTATTGGTAAAATGTAATTTTACAAATGGCAACTAATGTGTGCCCAATGTACCGCATTCAAATCAACATTTTCGGGCAACATAGAGAGAGACAGAGAGAGAAAGTACTGCGACGTTTTGTGGTTGCCAACGGATGACTTTTCTTATGGATTTGCCTTTGCCACGGCCACGTATGATATAGAGCATTGTGGAGATTGTTGTATGTTGCATCGGCAAACGAAAATGCCGTCATTGTTGCTAGATTGTACCACCACATATAGTTCCGTATGATAATATATTGCCTCCGAAATGCACATATACGAGGCAACATTCACTTCAATCCTACCACGTACGCGCGTTTGTTTATGTTTATTTGTGTGCGTGTGTGTGTGTTTGTGTGTGTGGCGCTTTCTTTTTCGACCAAATGCGATTTAATTCATTGAGAATATAATACATATCCGATTTCGTTATTTATTTTCCGATCCATTCCATAAACCATGAGAAACGATAAATGCCCGTGCCGCCCTTGCTCTTTCTCTCCCTCTCTCTCCCTCTCTCTTTCTCGTTCGTCCGCTCATTCGTTCGTTCTTTCGATCTATTGCAAAGCTTTGTCTCATTTTTTCCTCTGTGTGGGTTTGTATGTGTGTTCATTTCTCCCAATGTGAAAACGATTTCGGCGTTTTTGTGCCGAGGCGAGCACATTCGCTTTCCAAGCTCACCGCATCAATATAGTCTATTATTGTTTTTCCGATTCACAAGATTAACCGAAAATCCACATTCGAATCACAGTGTGTGTGTGTGTGTGTGTGTGGTGGCAATAGTGTTGCGGCTGCCACTGTCACCGTATCACAACTCGGTGTTTGTATTGCTTCGCTTCGCTCGGCTTAATACAGTGTATATGGCATTGTTATGCAATAGACGCAATGAACGAAAAGAGTTCACATGAAGACATATGAGGAGGAAGGAAAAAACAACCTTTTGCCGATATAAATTACACCGTTTAAATATACAACTGGTGTGTATGTTGCGTAATACGCTTTTCGGTGCATGTATATTCAGGGCGATGAATTTTCAACTCACTAGCATGTGACATTACTTAAGCGATCGCACTTTATACATTTTTCTCTCCATTATGCTCCACCAGAAAAACAAACAAACGCATACACGCACCATTCAACATGGTAAATCGACACCATATTATCTATAGAACAAATAAACTGATATCGTGACCGCGCAACACAAAGGAAAATCCAGCAAATCGTAAAAAAAACACCGAGCAGATCGTAATAAATTTTAAATTGCCAAAAAATGGGTAAATCCGATAAGGAAAAGCAACAAAAATCAAACACTGTTTGGCAAAGGATTATACTCTTTAAGCACTGTCGAAAGCCCGACGAATCTGTATGTATGTGTTGGTTTTTGTATGCGCCTAACCAAAAACCGACTGGCATCATGCCGACAACACAATTGTAATTAAAATCAAATAGTTCCATGAAAGCATTCCAGTCGGTGGTGTGTATTTCAAAATGTGATTTACAGAGCGTGTGTATGTCTTTAAATCGGTGCACAAACAAAATGTGATGAGTGTGTGAATGCAGAGAGATGCAATTGATGAAAACTAAACAAAACAACCTTGAGAAAGCCGTCTTCAAATTCCAACTAACAAATGCAGGTTCCGGTTTTGGATTATTTCAGTGTTTGCTTTATGGCACTCTCGACCCACATGACTGAAAATGGATTTCAATCCTCAGAAAACACACTTAAATTAGCTCACACACGCTGTGAACATTTCATAGGTTATTATTATTCTGACCTTATTTTGCATTCTCAACGTGCACGAACATAATTTATGCCTTATTTCGCTCGTCGATTTTCTATGAAAATTCATTGCATTCGGTTTTTTTTTTCCTTGCTCTTGCCCTTTCCCTTTCACCTTACATAATACCATTCAATTTCGGATCGAAATTTCTCGCAGATCTGTGACAGGTTGCAATTCGAGGTAAGCGCTCGGTGATTATTGTTGCTATCCATTTTCGTCGTTCTATTGTTGTGGTTTTGGTTTTTCACAAGAGATGGATTTTTCGCTTTGACTGAGTTGGGCCACATCAAATTGACGCTTTGTTCCGATTGTGAGACGTAGAAAATGTGCTTGTACGGCTGTCAGTCTGGCGCGTCATTGTTAAATCGTTATCACAAACGGCTAATAAACAATGAGCGAAAAACCGTTTTACAAAAATACTTCGAAATCAATTCACTGAAATGTGGCACAAACGAAAAGTTTCAATGAATTTGATTTGACTGCCTGGCTGGCTGACTAGTTGGCTGGCTTCACCCACAAGCTTTAACCACATCATTGTGCTTTGTTTCTCCCCCCCCCAAAACATCGGAACAAGTCTATTCACGTGCAGGACCATTGAACATACACTGACGCACACAATTTCAGTCTGGTATCTGCACACCACAGCCACACATACGCACATCATATTTTTCATTCGACAGATTTTTGTCGGCTTTCTCTCATCCTCTCTTTGTCGCTTTTACACTTTGCAGTCTTTGTTCGTTTTGTTGTTGTTGTTGTCGTTGAGAGTGTGATGTAATGTAATGTGTGCATTGCCACGAATCGAAAATCAAAGTAGCTCTCTGTGAGGGCATGTACGTTAAAGTCCAGACATAAAACAGCAATCAAAATCAATGGATTGAATGGAAAATCGTATGTCGATGATCAATCGACAAAATGCAAATAAAAATGAATCAAATATATAGCATATGGAAAATATTTGCTTAGTCACTTACACAGTGGCACTTACACACGCGCGCGCGTGGTGGCATGAAACATGCATGGGATGAGAGCATGAAATGGGGGAGAACACACACACACAAAACGTCTAAGTAGAATTTGAATTGATTTCACCGTTTGAGCAACAGTTTTTCATCCCGATTCTTTTTTCTCGCTGTATCTCCCTAGTCGTGAGACATGCACACAAGTGCGAGTTACAGCCAATAAAATCGTATATCCTTCATATCATGTTTATTGTTAAATTCACAAGACTTTGTTTGATGTTGCGAGAATTCGCTGCTGTTTTTTTTTTCGTTTCTTCTTTTTTCCTCCCACCGCAACCGGCATCTCGGCAACACATATGAGACGTCAATTCCGTTCACATTTCATTTTGCTTCAAAACGCAAAATGATGGATAAAGGCGCATCGAATAAACGAATTGATTTTATTTCATAAGCCAACATATTTAAGAATGCTTTTTTTCATTTCATCCACACTCAAGCGATTCATCTCACTGTTTGTGTGTGTGTGTGTGTGTGTGTGTGTGTGTGCTTGTGTTCCTCTGTTTTCTTCACGTTTTCTCATTCTTCTCCGTCGAAGGTCTTTTCATGCCGTGGTGTAAAAGAGACGAGAAAAAAAATTTACGCTACATTTTGTTTTGAGTCAAACAATGTGAGCTCATTTTAAGTGAATTTTTCAATATTTCGTTGCGTCGCAACAATAAAATTTGAATAATGCGCTGCATATCGTTATGTGCTTGAAAGCACCCCACGTTGGCTTGGCTTGACTAGGCTAGGCATAGATTTTTTCCTATCGGTTGGTGGGTGTTGCTGCAATGTCTATTTTTTCCTTCTTCTACTTCGAAAACGGGATTTCGGAGAAAAAATTTGGTTCCTTCTAGGAAACTGGGATCTCTGTTGTTTTTTCTTTGCATGCGTTCAACTCATTCAGCGGTTTTTGTTAAGTTCGTCGAAAAAAGGGAAAAGAAACAACAACCTTATCGATTTATGGTTTTCCAACAAACTATTTTTAGGATTTTTTTCATTTTCATTTTCTTTTGGGTTTGAATAATTTGCCGTATTGCATCGGATGAAATCGTTACCAATTCAAAGAAAATCGCAAACGAAATCGTGTTTCCGACGTGCACAATGACAACATGATTGAATTTCTTACGTAGCTCACAGTCGAACTGCTAACAATTCTAGCAATTTTTCGGATGAAAATCAAAATACAATGAGCACAGAACAAAAAAAAAGTCATATACGCCAAAACATGCTGTTGAAATATCGAAAATTACAAAGAGGCACCGAACGGTGAATAGCACGAGGTATGGGCCAACAATGCATACAGAAGGATAGAAAACGAGCGAACAGAGGAGAGAAACATGGTGAATGTTCAACATTTGGCGTAGCGCATTTTTACACACAGAATCACAATAAATGCAATGAATTAAAATCCGAATGTGCCATCATTAGATCGAGCCTTTTGTTTTC